TTCTCCGGCGTAGTGTGGACGGAAAACATTTGATGCGTTTTCAGAGTGAAAACTCCGTTTTCAAATTTCTGCGGCGTTGCTAGTGTGGACGGGGCGTAAGTCTCGAAACCGCTATATTAGATTTAGTAGCAAAAGTTTATGGTAATTATTAAAATAGATGGAAAATATTTGTTTCTGCATTATGTGTTGTAGGTTGTCGGCAGTATGGATGCCCATCCTAGCCGATATTGTGCTTCTGTGCGAGTGCAAACTCATCGACAGGTACGAACAAATAAATTGAATCGGGCCAATCACAGCAGACGTTAAGATCCTATTAACCAATCAGACCTCAGTGGAGAAGTGTGCAACTTGGGCCAAACGCGCGGAAACGTGCATGAGCAAATATCATTTACTATAGGCCATTTCCAAGTTGCCTTTTGCCTCAGTGTCAAAACGAGTCTTAATGCGAAAGCATTCTGTGTAAATGTGTTCCGCGTACGTGTTCATTTCCATGCAAATTAAGCTCGTTTTCATATGTTGAAAGGTTTTGCGCGAAGACTCGTTTTGAAAAAGAGGCACAAGGTAACTCGGAAATGGGCTTTTGGTTTGGTCTTTGCCCTCATGATACTGGCGAATATAAGAAAAACTGAAAAATCATCAACTTGTTTATAGTGATTTTCACGAGTTTTCTCTTCGAAATGTAGCACTTTTAGTTTTGACTCCAATTCAAAGCAAATAACCAAGTAAGTTTCCACGGGAATATTGGAAAAGAAAATCTATAACAGGAATGTGTCCACAGACATTTGACACAAAAAGGGAGACGAAGATTAATTTAATGCACACCTCTAACTGATGTCGTTGAAATTTTTCATCGTTTCACCAACTAACATCCATTTTGAATTTACATCGAGTTCCTCTATTCAACAATAACCCATGTAACTATATGGACCTCAAAATGCAACTGTCTTTCGCATTATGTTAAAGAGAACTATTCAACTATACTGGTTAGTTATAAGAACAGTTTCAAATCTATTCCGCTTAATATAAAATTTTAGGAAATCATTGCCGAGTTAGCAGCCATGGTACGGGAGCTGTTGATTCAGTTTTATCGTTCGACGAGACACAAACCAGTGCGGATTATTTTTTATCGAGATGGAGTGAGTGAAGGACAGTTTAGACAGGTAAGAGAGAAGAACAGCATAAAAGATGATACTCTACAGTGAAAGAGGAAACAGATTTCTCATAACTTTGTTACTTCTTTCCCTTCTCGAGAGGTGTCCAAACTTTGTTCCCCAAGGATCGATTTTCATACTGAATAACTGATGCTTTAGGACCTCCCCAGGCTAGACACTTAGTTGTCGACAACTAAGTGTTATGGACAACTAATTGTGTCTGATGCGAGCATTCCACGCATTGAAGGGATAATTGTCGATAGCTAGGTCAGTCCAACGAGAGCTTGGGAACTAACGTTCACTGCGCATGCTCACAACACAATACACATGCTCAAATGTGTGTCATGTTTCAATAGTTGTCGACAACGAAACCAATGATTTCCACACACGGGAAAAACGGTCAAAACATAGTTGTCGACAGCTAATGTTTGTCAACAACTTAAGCAGTTTTCGCTTTCCGAAAAGGGAAACTGCTTAGTAAGTTCTCGACAGCTACAGATTTAACGTTTAGTTGTCGACAACTCACCTCAGAGACTACGTTTTTTAGTTGTCGATAACAAATAGTCGTTGACAACTAAATATCCTGTCTGTGGAGGTTCTTAGCTGACTCGGAAGTTTAGGTAACTGCGACGGCGATCGACGCGCTCGTCTCCGGATCGAGTGTTCCGGGTTTAAGCCCTTGCCGAGGTCCTGGCGTTGTTCTCGGTGCATCTCTCCACCCACGTGTATAAATGGGTACGGGCGAATTTAATGCTGGGGGGTAACCGTACGATGGACTAGCATCCCAACCAGGGGGGAGTAGAAATACTCCTAATGACTTCATGCTACAAGCCGGGATACGCACTGGCGTTAAGGACCACTTGGCCCGACGGGCGACCCAGACTTCAAATTACGTTCACTTCAGCTGACTGATGAGTCAAGAAGTAATTTATCTTGCATTGTATTGGAAATAAAGTTGCCTCGACGTGTTACTCGTTACCAGGTCCTGTGCCACGAACTGAAGGCAATCCGCGAGGCTTGCATCAAGCTGGAGGTTGGGTAC